TGGAACAACGTCTTCATGCAGTTCAACCGCGAGCGAGACGGCTCTCTCACCCCGCTGCCGGCGCCGTGCGTCGACACCGGCATGGGCCTCGAGCGTGTCTCGTCCATCCTGCTCGACAAGATGTCCAACTACGACATCGACGTCTTCGCCGCCCTCTTCAAGGCCATCCAGGCCGTCGTGCCGGGGCTGCGCGAGTACGCTGGCAAGGTTGGCGAGGACATGGAGGATGCGGCAAAGTGGACGGAGGATGAGCGTGTCGACATGGCCTTCCGCGTGGTCGCCGACCACATCCGCACGCTCACCTTTGCGATCACCGACGGCGCGCAGCCGTCTGCCGAGGGGCGCGGCTACGTGCTGCGCCGGATCCTGCGCCGCGCGGTGCGGTACGGCGGCGAGATCCTCAAGGCGAGGCCTTCTCCTCCTCCTCCTCCTCCTCCTCTTCTCATTCAGTCTTCTATGACTCCTGTTGTCTGCTGCCTTGTCAGGCACCCGAGGGCTTCTTCCACCAGCTCGTCGACGCCGTCGTGGAGCAGTTCGGCGACGCGTTCCCCGAGCTGCGCAAGGACCCAGGTGCGGACACTTCCGAGACACTTCCACTACCCCCCGCGAGCCAGAGGCCTGCCCGCCCCTCGCTATGCCCACCCCTCGCTATGCGCCGCCCAGGCGCTCTCTCGCCGTCGCCTTGCCTGCCTTCCTCCCCGCCCACACTCCCCGCCCGCACTGCCCGCCCCGGCCTGCCCCAGAGCGCGTCAAGGCGATCCTCCGCGAGGAGGAGGCCACCTTCTCGCGCACGCTCAAGAACGGGATCCGCCAGCTCGGCAAGTACTGCGAGAAGCTTCCGGCGGGAGGCACACTCTCGGGCGAGGAGGCGCAATCTCCCCACATCTCCCCCACATCTACATCCACATCTACATCTCCCCCACATCTCCCCCACATCTCCCCCACATCTCCCCCACGTCTCCCCCCCACCCCCGCCCTCCCTCATCGCCCCCCGTCTCAGGCCTTCAAGATGTACGACACGTACGGCTTCCCGGTCGACCTCACGTTGCTCATGTGCGAAGAGAAGGGCCTCACCGTCGACGAGGCGGGGTACGAGGCCGAGATGGAGCGCGCGAAGAAGCGGTCGCAGGAGGGCGGCTCCTTCTCGCGCGGCGGGTCGGTCGTGCTTGAGGCGGAGCAGACCGTCGCCCTCGCCGAGCGGATGGGCGTGCCGCGCACGGACGACGCCCCAAAGTGGGTCTGGGACTCGGCCGCAGGGGCGGGCCAGCCGCACGCCAGCACGCTGCGCGCGGCCATCGACCCGTCAAAGGTCTTCCACGAGTCCGTCACCGCCGAGACGGGGCTCGTCGGTCTCATCGTCGAGTCGACGCCGTTCTACGCGGAGGCGGGCGGGCAGGTGTGCGACGTCGGCACGCTCACTGTATCTCCCCATATCTCCCGAGATTACCCGAGATTACCCGCAGGTGTGCGACCTCGGCACGCTCACCACCGCCGCGGGCGCAGCCTTCCTCGTGGAGGACGTCCAGAGGTTCGGCGCCTTTGTGACCCACATCGGACGCGTGACGGCGGGCGAGCTCAAGCCCGGCGACGCGGTGCAGCTCTGCGTCGACTACGGCCGCCGCGCGCCGATCGCGCAGAACCACACGACGACGCACATGCTCAACTACGCGCTTCGCGCCGCGCTCGAGCAGGTCTGCGAGACACACTCACACACACACACACACACACACACACTCACACACACTCACACACACTCACACACACTCACACACACTCATACACTCATACACTCACATGCACACACGCGGACACCGCTCACCACGCGCACCGGGCCTTGCACTTGAAAACGCCTTCAGGGCTCCTGCCTTTCTAGACGTGGAGTCGAAAGGGCTGCACCTGGCCCTTGCCCCACACCCTCGTGTGTGTGGAGAAGTGTGCCTGACCCCGCCGCAGGACTGCGACCAGCGCGGCTCCCTCTGCGACGCCGAGAAGCTCCGCTTCGACTTTGCGTACCCCAAGCCGCTCACTGCCGAGCAGCTCGCCGCCGTGCAGGCGCAAGTCAACTCGCAGATCGGCGCCGACCTCGAGGTGCACACGTCGACGGTCGCGCTCGAGCAGGCGATGGCGATCAACGGGCTCCGCGCCGTCTTTGGCCAGCAGTGCCGCACCGCCCACGGGGCTGACCCCGCATTGGGTTCGATCCTGCGGAGGTATGGTACTAGGCGAGCAGTACCCCGACCCTGTCCGCGTCGTCTCCGTGGGTGGGCGCCGGCGCCGTAGATGCCGAGCCACACACTGGTGCGGCCCCAGCGACTGGTGCGGCCCCAGCGAGCTACTCGACAAGACTCGTGCGGCCTCGGCCGTGCTCGCTTCCTTCCCCGTGCTCGCTTCCTTCCCCGCCTTTCCGCAGCTCTTGTAGCCACTCCTGTAGCCACGCGACACCCCGCGAGCACACACACACACACACACACACACACACACACACACAGCGCGAGCACACACACACACACACACACACAGCGCGAGCACACACACACGCAGCGCGAGCAAGCGCTCCCGCGCTGACGGGCGGCCCCGTGCTCTAGGCCTGGCGTCGGCCAGATGGTCGCCGCGCCCGACCAGGGCGAGTGGCGCGGCTACTCGGTCGAGTTTTGCGGCGGGACGCACATCGCGCGCTCCTCCGAGCCGCAGCGCTTCGTGCTCCTCTCTGAGGAGGGTCTGGGCGGCGGCAACCGGCGGATCGTGGGGCTGACTGGCGAGCGCGCGGCGGCGGAGGATTCGCCCGCGACACGTCAATGACATGTCTAGACATGTCCCGCAGGCGAGCGCGCGGCGGCCGCGAACGCCACTTCGGCTGAGCTGATGGCGCGGATCGACAAGGCAGGCAGCCTCGAGGGCAAGGTGATCCGACCCCGCCACCCGCCACGCACACCCACGCCACCCGCCACGCACACCCACCACGCACACCCACGCCGCACACCCACGCCACACGCCCGCCACACGCCCGCCACACGCCCGCCACACGCCCGCCACACGCCCGCCACACGCCCGCCACACGCCCGCGCCCTACACACACCGGCCCCTTCACCCCTGCTGCCAGGCGATCGAGCCAGAGACCGCCGAGATCGCGCGGCTGCTCGAGACGGCGGTCGTGCCCGCGGCCGACCGCAAGGCGATGACGGCGAGCATCGGCGCGCTCAAGAAGCGCGCCATCGAGGCGGGGAAGGGCAACCTCAAGGCGGCGGCGGAGGCGGCAAAGGCGGAGGCGGTGCGGCTGGCCGAGGCGGCGCAGGGCGCGCGGTACCTCGCCCTCCTCCTCGAGACGGAGGCTCCAGCGCAGAGGTGGTCGTCGCCAGCCAGCCACGGGACGCATCCCTCACACCTCCGTGTGCCCACTAGGCGGACGCAAAGGTGGTTGAGGCTGCGGCGACGGCCGCCGGCGCCGCCCTCGTGGGCGTGCCTCTGCTGGTGCTCGGCGCGGGCAAGACGGCCTGCGCGCTCGCCACCGCCCCAGACGGCAGCCCGGTCGACGCAAAGGAGTGGGTCAACGCCGCGCTCGGCGCGTGCGGGGGCAAGGGCGGCGGCAAGCCCAACCGCGCGCAGGGCGCGGCGCGCGACCCGACCAACGTCGCGCAGGCGCTCGAGGCCGCAAAGGCGTTCGCCGAGGCGAAGCTGGGCTGAGGCCTGCAGGCGGGCGCCCGCTGCTACGCGGCGACTCGCGCGCCGATAGTCTACGCTGAGGCAACCCAGCTGGCGTGTGTCGCACACATCACAGTTGCTCGCGGCTGCACATTTATATGCACACACCGGCCGACACCGACACCGGCCTCCAGACCCGCTCGTTCGCCCTCCGCGCGACAAGCGCGCCACACGGACGTAGCCGCTTGCGGCCCGCGGGTAAATACGTTTCCGCAAACCGCGGAAAAATACAAACCGCGCCGGCATTTTTTGGCCCTCTCTAGTTCTTTTTCGGTGCCACGTGGTCCGGTGCGTCGCCGTCGCGGGTGTGTGTGATAGGGTCGCTCCTCGACCCTCGTGTCCAGAGTAGCGCCCAGTCCGATAAAAAGAATTGGGAAGTATACCTGAGAACGAGACCGCCCGGTGCCGTGGCCACTGCGCACTGGGGTGTGTCTTCAACTTCATTGCACATTGGAGTTCTTCTTCGAAAAATTCTCCACGTAAAATTCTTTTTGGTCAGAACCAGACGATGCCGCGCACCTACGTGCGTCACACACACACACACACACACACACACACACACACAACAAACAAATGACGTGTGAGTGTTAGATTTGTTTGGTATTGCTAAAAATCTCTCTCACACACACACAAGAAAGAGAAAACACACACGCGCGCGCGCGCGCACACACACACACACACACACACACACACACACACACACACACACACACACACACACACACACACACACACGCACACGCACACGCACGAAAGATGAAAATTCTTTTCTCCAAAAGCGCGCCAGTCCCGTGCCCAGTGTTGTGCGCGCGCGTAAAATTCTTTTCTCCACTGGCACGGGCTGCAGATGCAGCGCTTGTCTGTCGTTCTCCACACCGCCGTGGCGTGGCAGACGGTGAACGAGCTAGCGTGCGGGGACAGCGGCATTGTGCACGGAGCTAAGTGCATTGCCGTTCTTAACGGAGTCGCTTAGGCGGCTCCGGTGGTGTGCCGGTGATAGTACTAGCACGCGCCAGTTCGCACCTGTGTCGAGCCTGTGTGCTGTGAGAGAGACGTGAAATATTTAAATTCTTTTCTCCAGCCCAAGGTGTTGGCTGTCGGCGTCGCCTCAACAACTCTCCTCACTCTCGCCGACGCCCCTGTGCACCACCGGGTTGTCGCTCATGCCCAGCCCCTTCGCCGTCGACGGCTATGTCGACTTCCCGGCCAACTCCGGCCCGGACGCGATGCGCTCGCCCGCGTGCAATTACTACACATGGGACACGCTGATGCACGGCGACCTGTGGGCGGAGCTGATGCCGCGACCAGGCCGCGACTGCGACTTCGGGCACGCCCGGCCCGAGTACCGGGAGACGATAGCAATCTTCGACGGGTGGTACTGGACGCGCTGGACCGCCAACCACTGGGAGATCCCCATCGCCGCTGCCACGCTCTACCTGCTGATGATCGCGACGCTCAAGCTGACGATGGGGCCGCGCAACGGCGGCCGCAAGGCGCTCAAGCTGACGCGGGTGGTGCTCGCATGGAACTTCTTCCTCTCCGCCTTCTCCATCGCTGGCATGTGCTACACGGTCCCCCTGCTCCTCTTTGGTGAGAGCGGCGTGCTGACCGCCGGCTGGTACGCGTCGGTCTGCAACTCGGCGGCGTCGTACGGGCATGGGTACCCGGGGCTGTTTGTGTGCCTGTTCATCTACTCGAAGCTGGCCGAGCTGCTCGACACCTTCTTCCTGCTGGTGCGCAAGTCCCCGGTCATCTTTTTGCACTGGTACCACCACCTCACCGTGCTGCTCTTCTGCTGGCACGCTTACTCGGCGCGGATCGGCACCGGCCTCTGGGTTGGCGAGATGGCCCGAGATGAGCCGAGATCAGCCGAGAGTAGGCGCGGATCGGCACCGGCCTCTGGTTTGCGGCGATGAACTACTCGGTGCACGGCATCATGTACGCGTACTTTGGGCTGACGCAGGTCTGCTCACCCGCATACGCACCGGGCCTTGCACTTTGAGTGTGCCGTGCCAGCTCCTGCCCGTGTCCCGGTGTGGAGATGCGAGGGACAGCCTGGCCCTTGCCTCCACCACGTTGTGTGTGTGGAGACGCTTACCTGACCTGACCTGACCTGACCTCACCTAACCGTATCTGACGCAGGCGGGCGACGGCCCAAAGAACTTCGCCAAGCGCTTCTCGATGCTCATCACGACCCTCCAGCTCACCCAGATGGTCTTTGGGATCGCGGTGACCGTCTCGTCGGTCGTCTACCTCTCGCGCGGGCTGCCGTGCTACGTCTCGCTCTTCAACTCGCTGCTCGGGCTGGGCATGTACGCCTCGTACTTCGTCCTCTTCCTCCAGCTCTTCCTCTCGCACTACGTCTACAACACCAAGGGCGCGCCCCCGGCCGCCAAGGCCAAGCACGAGCCCCTCCTCGAGCCGCACTGCCCGCCCGCACTCTCCGCCGCGGCCGACGGGGCCGCGAAGGCGCGCCCGGTGGCCGGCAAGCGGCAGAGCAAGGAGCAGTGAGGCCTTGTATGAGCCGTGTCGCGCTCTCGCGCATCGATGGACAGCGAAGGTGCGGCTGGAGGCGGGGAGGGGGGTGGTGCGCTCGGAGCCCCCCGCCGGCGTTGGGGGCTTGCGAGACGCCGCGGGCAGGGCCGCATTCCGTGAGTCTCGCATGTGCTTAGGGGACCCCTAGGCTTAAAAGGGTGGGCCCTGGGGCGCCTGCGGCTTAAACGGCTTAAAACTTGCCATGGCAAGTTTTAAGAGCTGCTGGGCCGCCGATTCCTTAAACGGTCTTAAACGCTTAAACGGTGCGGGAGAGCTCCCGAGGTCGATGGTCCGGGAGGCTCGGTAGACACGCCGGAGGCCGGGAAGCTGGCTACAGTCAGCTAGCACGTCCCCTATGCGAGTATGGCTCCTGCCAGTGCACCAGACTTACAGATGTGTCTTCAGAGGCGGGTTTGTGCCTAATAACGGCAGTATTGGAGAAAACGGCGCGGAACCCAGCGACGCATGCCGGTGTAGAGGCCGATTTTCTTAAACGGTCTTAAAAGAGGGACCCCCCGTGCCTGCAATCTCTTAAATGGCAAGTTAAGCCCCCAAACCTCCTCGTTTCTTAAAAGGTCTTGAAAAAATACGGGCCTCAGAACCCTAGGGGTCCCCTAAGCGCATGTGTGTTTGGCTGGGGCGCACGTCTCCAAACACAAGCGAAAAGGGGGGGCGACCCTCGCACATCACCACAACCGGGCACAGGCAGGAGTGGCATTTCTTTTTTCAAAGTGCAAGGTGTGAATGACAGCTTTATGATAGGGTTACTACGACGAACTATGCGGCAATCGACTGGCCTGGGGCGCAAGGCCCGGATCGCCCCCACACGGCCCACACGCAGAGACCTCGTAGTAAAGCCGTAACCCCTCAGCGCAACCGACTTGGATGGGCCGTGTCCACGCCTTGCCCCCTTGGTCGTCGAGGCACCATGAAGCCGACCTACCCCTCCGTGCCGCCAATCGACGGCAACGTACCCGTATTGCTCTCTTGGGACATGAAGGCTCTGACGTCTGAGGCATGAGGCGAAAGTGCCCGGGCGCGCGCGAGTCGGCCACTTCGGGCAAGGATCGCCAAGAAGAATTTTACGTGCCATGCAACCCGCGTGCCACTTTTGTTCGGGGCGAGAATTACGTCCTCTTGGCAGCAAAGAAAGAGGATTTTTGTTGTGCCGACTTCGCGTGTGCTCCGCTTCTGAGAGAGAGATTTTGAGAGAAGAGAGAGAGAGAGAGAGAGAGAGAGAGAGAGAGAGAGAGAGAGAGAGAGAGAGAGAGAGAGAGAGAGAGAGAGAGAGAGAGAGAGAGAGAGAGAGAGAGAGAGAGAGAGAGAGAGAGAGAGAGAGAGAGAGAGAGAGAGAGAGAGACCTCTGTGCTTCTCTCTCTCCATCCTTCCTTGCTTGCGTCCCCCCATGCCGCCTGTCGTGTCCAGTCTCTGGCCCATCTTCTAACTCCCATATATGGTAAAATTCTATCTCCCCAGTGTTGTGCGAGGGAGCTTTGTTGTAAAATTCTATCTCCCAAGAAAAGAAAGTCCCGATGCTCGATTTCCTCGCGGCGTCTCACAAAACCTGCCCCGAGAGGATGCCTTGCGGCGGCTGCGGCCGCATCCTGGCGCTGCGCGCGACCGGCCCCTCTCGGTGTGCTCTGCGGAACGGCCTCGCTCGAACGCGCGCCTGCCGGGTCGGGGCGGTCACGGGACCGGCTGAAATTGCGGCCGCAGCTGCTTGGGGGGGTGAGGATGGCCGGGCTTGAACGGCTTCTCGCGAGGTACCCGCATCCCGACGCAGCAGCGATTTGGCATTCTATATCTTTCGCGGCCTTCGCCGAGCGCAGGCGAGGCATAGGGAACCCGCATTAAATTTCTGTTAATGCACCTAGATTTCTTTTTTTCGCGCACCCGCCCGCGCCGAGCCAAAGGAGCTCCGCGGAGCCGCCAGGCGCCCACCCCGGCGATTCGCTCGCTACGCGTCGCTCACCGCCGGGGCGGGCGCCTGGCGGCGCCGCTGCGCAAAAAGAGAAAATCCCGAAGCACGGACCCGAGGGCAGCGATATTTAGAATAGAAAAAGAAATTGACGGCCCGCCTCTGACGCCGGCGCCGTGAGCCTCCCTCGATGGCCTCCCATCGCATCGGCGCCCGCGTCGCGGGCCTCTCGCCAGCGCAGCTGTGCGCCATCATCGAGGCGCAGGCGGGCGCGAGCGACGCCGCGCTGCGCGTGGCGGAGGAGCACGCCGCTCGGCTCGTGGAGCAGCCCGAGTGGGTGCTCTCCGAGGTCCTCCTCTCGCCGGACCTCGCCCCGCACATCCTCGCCCAGCTGCCGACCACGGAGCACGCCGTCAAGGGGACGTGCCGCGCGTGGCGCCGCGGCTGGAAGGAGACGCTGAAGAAGCGCAAGAGGCCGCACCTGGCCGTGTTCGGCGGCCGCGACAGCGAGTTCGAGTTCCTCAACTCGCTGGAGCGGTACGACCCGTCAACGAATGAGTGGGAGGAGGAGGCTGTGGCGCCGATGTCTGCGGCACGAAGCTATGTCGGCAGGGCGGTGCTCGACGGCAAGCTTTACGTGATGGGCGGCGAGAGTGAGGCCGACGGCGCAACTTCAAACCTGGTGGAGCGGTACGACTTGGCTGCGAAGTTGTGGGAGGCGGTGGCGCCGATGGCGACACCACGCGTGAATCACGCCGTGGCGGTGCTCGACGGCAAGCTGCATGCTGTGGGAGGCGGTGGCGACGATGGCGGCGGCGCGGGACTCTCACGGCGTGACAGTGCTCGATGGCAAGCTGTACGCTGTTGGGCGGCTTCTGTAACGACGGCGGCTTCAACACCGGCCTCGTCAGCTCGGTGGAGCGGTACGACCCGGTGCTGAATGCGTGGGAGGCGGTGGCGCCGATGGCGGCGGCGCGGTGTGATCACGCCGTGGCGGTGCTCGATGGCAAGCTCTATGGCGCAGGCGGATTGGGTACCGGCCACAACCGCCTCAGCTCGGTCGAGCGGTACGATCCGGCAGTGGGCGCGTGGGAGGCGGTGGCTCCGATGGCGGAGGCGTGGAGGAGGGCTTTCGCTGTCTTGATGTAGTCGCCGTTGTCTGTTGCGTGCTAGCCACGGCGCAGAAAGAAAGAAAGAAAACAGACAACCCAAGGGAGGGATGGGAGGACGGCACGCCGCCACCACACAGGGATTTTAAGGAGAGGTGTGTGGTGCGCTAGCCGTCGCCCACCCTAGGGAGTCTGCCTCTTCCTATCTCTCTTCGCAGTCTCTCGCCGCTTCTCGCTGCAATCTTCATGCCACCTCGCGGTCGTCCCACTCTCGTCGTTCTCTCCCTTGTCATTTCCTCCTCTGTCGCGTCGTGTGGAGTGTGGGAAAGGGACCCATTTTCTTTTTGCCGGCAGCTGCGAGCTCATACCGTCACTGGGGTGCGCTCCGGTTACGCGCCGTTCTGCGCCGATGGCCTCCCACCGCATCGGCGCGCGCGTCGCGGGCCTCTCACCAGCGCAGCTGTGCGCCATCATCGAGGCGCAGGCGCAGGCGGGCGCGAGCGACGCCGCGCTGCGCGTGGCGGAGGAGCACGCCGCTCGGCTCGTGGAGCAGCCCGAATGGGTGCTCTCCGAGGTCCTCCTCTCGCCGGACCTCGCCCCGCACATCCTCGCCCAGCTGCCGACCGAGGCGCACGCCGCCAAGGGGACTTGCCGCGCGTGGCGCCGCGGCTGGAAGGAGACGCTGAAGAAGCGCGAGAGGCCGCACCTGGCCGTGTTCGGCGGCCGCGATGAGAACAACGATATTGTTAGCTCGCTGGAGCGGTACGACCCGTCCACAAATGAGTGGGAGGAGGAGGCTGTGGCGCCGATGCCGACGGCACGACTAATTGTCGAGACGGCGGTGCTCGATGGCAAGCTCTACGCGGCGGGCGGCCAGAGTGAGGCTGACGGAGCAACTTCCAACCTGGTGGAGCGGTACGACCTGGCCACGAAAGCATGGGAGGCGGTGGCGCCGATGGCGACGCCACGCGAGAGTCACGCCGTGGCGGTGCTCGACGGCAAGGTCTATGCTGTTGGTGGGTACAGCGACGGCGTCGGCCACCTCAGCTCGGTCGAGCGGTACGACCCGGCGGCGAACGCGTGGGAGGCGGTGGCGCCGCTGGCAGAGGCACGGCATTCTCACGCCATGGCGGTGCTCGACGGCAAGCTGTACGCTGTTGGCGGGTACAACGGCGGCGACGGCTACCTTAGCTCGGTCGAGCGGTACGACCCGGCGGCGAACGCGTGGGAGGCGGTGGCGCCGATGGCGACTGCGCGGCGTGACCATGGCGTGGCGATGCTCGACGGCAAGCTGTACGCTGTGGGCGGATTCGATGGTGGCCGCCTCAGCTCGGTCGAGCGGTACGACCCGGCTACGAGCGCGTGGGAGGCTGTGGCGCCGATGGCAACGGCGCGGCTTGCTCACGCCATGGCGGTGGTCGACGGCAAGCTGTACGCTATGGGCGGGAACAACAACGGCTTCCTCAACTCGGTCGACCGGTACGACCTGGCAGTGGGCGCATGGGAGGCGGTGGCGCCGATGGCGGCGGCGCGGATGGAGGCTTTCGCCGTCTTGATGATGTAGTCGCCGTTGTGTGCGCGCTAGTCCCACGGCGTCGGGGGTGGAGTGTGTGCAGTCCCTCGCCTCAGTGCGTGTTTAAGAAAAACCGACGATCGAAAACAAAAAACGCAAACCCCGTCGCAGTCCTCGGCTCAGCAGACGCCAGTGGTGGCGGCGTACCGTCCTCCCATCCCTCCCTTGGGTTGCCAGTTTTCTTTCTTTCTTTTCAGCAGACGCCAGATGGCCTCCCACCGCATCGGCGCCTACCCCCGGGACAGTGACTGACCCTTTAGCCACTGCATGCTGAGAAGCGCTCTCTCGCTCCTCCTCCTTCGCGTGTTCGCCATGGCCGCCGACCGGCCCGCGCGCCTGCGGGCAGTATTCAGCGACCTTGACGGCACGCTCGTCCACTTCCCATCGTGGTTCGAGGAGCATGGCGCCAAGATTGTGAGCCGCGACGCCGAGGCGAAGCGCTGCGTGGTGGAGAGTGCCACCGGCGAACGGCGCGAGTGTCGGCTCCTGCCGTCCAGCACGATGGGCGACGGGGTCGTATCAGAGCGCACCGTCGAGCTCGTCCGCCAGCTGCGCGCCGAGGGCGTGCTCTTCGCGGTGGTGACGGCCGCGCGGAAGTCGACGCTGCTGGCGCGGCTGCCGCTGCTACCGGCGTGCGACGTCGCGGTCGGCGAGACGGGCTCGCGCATCCTCCTCGAGGACGGAGCCGTCGACGTCGAGTGGGCCGCCCGCTTTGAGGCGGTTTGCGGTCCGCTCGAACGGGAGATGGACGTCACTCACCGGCCGGAACCGCTGTGGCGGCTGTTTCGACGGCTGCAGTCGATCCGCGGCTTAAAGTGCGACGCTCGCTCCTACTACGGCTGCTTCCGGGCCGACACGGGCGACGATCCGAGCGTGGACGCGGCGCTGCGCGCGTGCGTCGAGCGCGAGCTGCCGGCGGGCGTGAGCTGGGCGATGAACCTGGGCAAGTACGACTTTTACCCCGCGCTGAGCGGGAAGGGCAACGCCGTCTCGTACCTGCAGGCCAAGCACGGCGTCGCCGCCGCCGAGTCCGCCTGCCTCTTCGACGACGACAACGACCTGCCGATGGCGGAGCGGTGCGGCGCGCACCTGCTGCCCGGGCTCACCTCCGCCTCGGTGGCGCACGCGGCTGAGGCGCACCCGGACTGGTACGTCGCCCCGAGCGCGGGCCAGGGCGTCTTCGCCGTCGAGGAGTGCCTAGAGCGGCTGCTCGCCCGCGTCCGTGCGGAGAAGGCTGGCGAGGGGGCGCAGCCTGTCGGCGCGTGATGTTGGCTCGGGCTTCATTCATTTTCTTTCGGCGGTAAAAGTTTTTAAAGATGTAATTCCCGCCGTGTCCGGCTCTGGAATGGGTGGAGGGTGGCCCGGAGATCCGCGGATTCTCAAAAATAAAGAATTCAACCCCAAAAGCAAAACAAAGTTTATTCTTAGATTGGCCACAGTGGGACGAACGAGGGCCGCGACGGCGGCCCAAGCGGGAGGGAGCGGAGACAGTCGGCAGCGAGCGAAGTGGGTGAGACTGATGATGCTCCTTCGACTTAGGGAGCGGTTCAGCTGCTGGGCGGGCTTCAGGGTGGTGCTCACGCGAAAAGGAATCGACGCGATGTACAAAGCATATACAACAAGAGGAGAAAGAAGAGGACGGACATCAGTGATGACGAAACAGAAGCTAGCGCAGACGAGGGCAGGGCAGACCCGGGGACGGCGGAGTCGGAGCAGACGGCATCGGCCGCCGAGGAAACGTTGCAATCGGAAGAGGCACGAGGAGGGCGGCGACCTCAACCGACTGTGTATGGAGCACCCGTCACCAGACGACGCAGGGCGGACGACGGGGAGGCGGAGCAGACGCGCAGGGCGAGACGAGGGAGGGAGCAGGATGTTGCGGAGATCAGCAGGAGGATGTACGACGAGATTAGGAGCAGCAGGGACCCGAGGGACCATGTGGAAGACGGCTAGTGCTAGTCCCCCATCGGGAGGACGACCCCGGCTAGTCGCCGACCACACCCACAAAGAACCCTGCACAAAGATCGCAAGGGCGGGGGCCTGTTCCTTTTTACCCATCTCACAGTAGAGAGGTGTCCGTTTTTATTTATTTATTTATGAAAAAACAGCAATACGAGCTCGGGCAGTATGTATTCTAGAATAAACCGAGTGCACTTGCGTGCTCCGTAATCATCAGTTACGTAAGATCCATGCCGGACCGCACGCTCTCCATGCGCAGTTTCCATGCCCCAGCCTCGTGAACAAAGCTTTCGATCTGCGGTAGCATTTTGGGTAAATAAGTCACATCGCATCGGCGAGCGCCGAAATCGCCATTGCGACTGCTCGTGTCCTCGGTCGCCGCCGTCGCGTGGTTGAGCAGGGCCACTGGGCCGGGCGATGTACCTCATCTTTGGCATAATCTCCACCGTCCTCCTGCTGTCCCTCGTGCAGGCAAACTTTGAGTTTGAACGGTGCTCCGGCAGGGACGTCGCCAGAGTGCGGCAGGATCCGCACCTGGACCTGTCAAAGGGCGGCCGGGCGGACTTTCGGGGCGAGGACGGTGCGCTCTACAACTACCTCTCCACGCCGGGGCTGAGCGTCAACGTGCGGATCGAGGAGGCGCTCTACACCCTCCACGACGGCAAGCTCCTCGTCAATGGGACCTTCATGACGGAGGTCCACGTCTCTGCCCTCGTCGCGGGCGACCGCTTGTGCAAGTGGGGGTACGTGAGCTACGTTGCCCGCGAGCTGAACGGTCCCCCCCCCCCCCCACCCCACCCCACCCCGCCCAAAAAACAACCTCCTCCCAGCCCTACTCCGCATCAGCCTGCCCAGCCACGCCCGTCCCATCTCCCCATCTCACCTCGCCCCGCCTCATCTCGCACCCATCGTCTCGCCCACAGATCAGAACTGGGGCTGGAGCAATGTCAAGGGTTCCTGCGGTGGCCACGACTTCATGCTCGGGCCAAACTCGGAAAGGTTCTGCGGTGGGCTTCATGCATCGACCAAGATGTCCACCGCGACTATCGAGGTGAACCCATTCACCACCGACACCAACGGGGCGCCGTGGAAGATCATCGTGCACGGCGAACACGTACACGACCGAATTGCCGGTCCTAGCCACCGGCTCGACATCGAGCTCTCCTACTCGCCCCAAAGGAAGCCGCTGATCGCGCACGGCCTCATCGGCCAGTCCTTTGCCGACCCGGTGCCGCGCATTGGAAGGCTCGACGTCTACCCTGATGCGGGCACCTTTGTCACCTCGGCGCAGGCCGAGGGCGCCATCGAGGGCACTGGCAAGATGTACGCGATGCGCTCGCCCTACGAGACCGACTTCGTCTTCTCGCGTTTCGCCGGTGAGGCGGTGAACACAGGAACGGCTGAGGCGGGAATGGCGCTCTGCGACAAGAAGTTCGCCCAGGAGGTTGCGGACGTCGACAGGCGCCTCAGAAACATGGCCTTGGGCGCCGTCAAGCAGGGCATCGACGGCTGGCGGCAGTTCATGCGCGAGGAGGCGAAGGCCACCCTCGTTGCGCGTGCCACGTCGCTCGAGGTACAGCCCGGAGAAGGGATGACGGAGGCCCGTCGCCGGCTCGCCGAGGAGCCTGTTTGTCTTCCCGCCTCCTCGTTCGCTCTCAAGATTGGCGCGACCCGGCGGCGGCGCGCGCTCGCCGCCATCGACCTGGACGCCGTCGAAGCCGCCAAGATCAAGTCCTTCGCCAACGGCGACCCCCCCGTGACTGTCACCGCCGAGCAGATGGCCCTCGAGGACCTCGGCGACAGCACGGTGCGGGTGACCATCGTGCAGGCCGAGGGGGGGCCGACCGCCCAAGACATCACGGCCGCCGCGACGCTGCCGGCTTTCCTCGCAAGCATGGCCGAGGAGCTTGGAGCCCCGGTGGGCATGGAGGAGGAGCCCACCACGATCTCGATCACGGTGCTCTACAAGCCGCCGCCGCCGCCGCCGCCGCCGACTCCGCCGCCGCCCTCAGTCTCGCCCTCTCCGCCGCCGCCGACTCCGCCGCCGCCCTCAGTCTCGCCCTCTCCGCCGCCGCCCTCGGCGCCGCCACCCTCGGCCTCGCCCTCTCCACCGCCGCCGACTCCGCCGCCGCCCTCTCCGCCGCCACCCTCGGCCTCGCCCTCTCCGCCGCCGCCCTCGGCGCCGCCGCCCTCGGCACCGCCCTCTCCGCCGCCGCCCTCCCCGCCCCCCTCGCCGCCGCCCTCGCCGCCGCCCTCGCCGCCGCCGCCCTCGGCGCCGCCGCCTAATTCGCCCACGCCCGCCGGGACGATGTGCAACGACAGGTTCCACTTCGGACAGACAATCACAGTTACCAACACCGATTGGTACACTGGCCGCACGAAAGATGGCGTCGGCACCACTGGGCGAGCTGTGTGCATGTGCAGCAGCCAGTGTGATATGTGGAGCAGTCACACTATTGCGATATGTGTGGAGCAAGGCATTCCTACCGACGGCCCTTATCACAACCAGTATCAGCATTGCGACCCCGCCACCTCGCAACCATCGTGGTGCCCAAATGACCGCCTCTTCATGATCGCGTGCTCGTGGTTCGATTGAAGGGCGCCAAGGCCAAGATCTGGAGAACGGTGAGTTTAGTGATTCTGAGATCAGGTTAGTCGTTTCCCCTTTCGACAGTTGGCGGGGAATGGGCGACGGCGGCGAGGGCGGTGGTGGCGACGGAGCGGCGTCGGAGAGGGCGGCGGTGGAGAGGGGGCGGGCTCGGCGACGGCAGGCTCGCGTCGTTGGGAGGCGGGTCTAACCCAGCGGCACGGGCACCGAGGTCGCGTCGAGGTCTGGGCGGCCGTTTCTGGCTTGGGTCCTGCAGCGTCGCCGGCTGGGGGAGAGGGGAGGGGAGGGGAGGGGAGGGGAGGGGAGGGGAGGGGAGGGGAGGGGAGGGGCGTCGGGTTCGCTCTGCCGCTTGGCTCTGGGGAGAGGCAGGCGAGGGGCGGGCAGAGAGCGAGGGGCGGGGAGAGGTGAGGGTCGCTTGTCGCTGGGAGAGAGGGTGCGTGGCGCTAGCCTTGGTGCGGAGGCGGTCGTACGCGAAAGAACCCTGCACAAAGACCGCAGGGCGGGGACCTGTTCCTTTTTACCCATCTCCTAAAGAAAGAAAGAAAACACACAACCTAGCAGAGGTGGCCATTTCAGTTTTTATTTTTTCTTAGATTGGAGCGGGACGTAGAGCTCTACGGCGGCGATCAGAGACAAGTCCTCGCTTCTAAGCGATCGCCTCTCCTCCAACATGGCCATCGCGCTCGTATACAGTGCCGCGTTCGCGACGCACGAATCCGAAACGTGCACACTCGATCCGGCAATGGACGACTGGGGCTTCGTCGGCACCATGCACGTCCCTACCGACAGAGACGGCCTTTATTTTTGTGGCTCCAACCGGCGCCCTCCGGGCCATCACGTGGGGCCAATGGCAGCCGTGTACACGGAGCTTAGGGCGCTGTGTCGGCAACGCTGCCTCGACGACCCATCCTGCATCGCGTATCAGACCGGAGAGCAGTCCATCCTGCCGTACCTTGACTCGCTCGGCGGCGGCGGTGGCCGCCGGGTCGCGGCGTTCAACTGCCTGCTTGAGCGTTCGTCGCACGGTGACACTGTCGCTTGGAACGACAACGACCGGCCATGCGAGTGCCGGATCGAGGCCGCCTGCTGGCGGAGGGCAGTCCTTGCGCCCGCCTGCCGCGAGAGGGACTTTCCGGTGAAGCCGTCCGGCATCTGGACCTGGCCTGCGGGCAACCGGTCCGAGATTGCTGCGGCCTCCTGCCTGCCCATCGGAGCAGACGCGCCGCCCCGGCGGGGCGACAGCGACAGCTGCGAGGCGGACCTGGACGGCGCAGGCTGGGTTGTGGCGTTCCACGCCAACCGGTCCGGGCTTGAGCTCCTCGAACTCGCCAACTGCTTCATGCGGAGTCTCGCCCACGACGGGGATGCGTCGGCCGACCGGCTGCAGGAGGTTCCCAAAGCTGACCGCGTTTTTATCTGTGGAGCGCCGCCGCCGCCGCCCCGCTATGCCCGTGCCCCCCCGCCCCCGCTGGCGTACGTGACTGGCGGCCTCACTCTGCTCGAGATTGGCGGCATCATCGTCGGCGGGCTCGCCGGCTTGATTCTCCTCGGCTTCTCCCTCTTGCTGTGTTTCCGCTGCGTGCGAGTTTGGAGGGAGGAGAGAGAGAGGCAGCGGGCTATGCGGCCACACCAGCCCATGACCGCCGCCGCCGCTGAGGCGTCCGTCGCTGCCAGTATCTCGGCGGAGGGGGGTATCCAATCGCCTCCTGCAGATGATGCAGCAGAGACGACGAAACCTTCTGCCGACGCGGCGAC